TCTTGAGTTAAGCTACGAAATCATAAATGAAATACATAATAATAAGTAAGGTTCAAGTACTAGATATGTTTTTGCGAAAGCAAACTTCAGGAAAATTAACAAAGAACTTTCAAAGTTATCCTGGCCTATATATAGAGATGACGTGGAGCGTAGCGTTGAGCACTTTAATGATACTGTTTTCAATTTGTTTCGAAAGTATGTGCCAATACGTAATATTGTTCATGATGAGTATGGCAATCGATGTCGTAAACCTATACCTTGGTTTATGTTTAATAACGAAAACACTCACTGTAATTTTTGTTTAAATACAAAATGTTTCATTTATTCGTGGACTGTTTCGTGTGTGTATCTTCAAAAACGCAATTTTTTTGACAGCCAACGCCAGTTTGTTCGCTTTGCGTAATTGTACATGGTTGCATTAGATATTAGTTATATTAGGGTTACATTGTTGTAATTTTATGTATTCAATACATAAGTTAAGAAATGGAACTCAAAGTGTAAAATCTCGGGCCCCTTTGAAAGCTTACGCTTTCAAACATCTAAAAATAATGGGCATAACTTGACGATGGGGCGTTTATATATTCCCTTAGCTGTCTTAACAGAGACTACTCGTACCAGCCCGTCCTTGCCTGGATGGGTATCAACGACTCCTCCGATGGACCATAGTGCTGGTGGAAGTTTATCATCCTTTATTATTACGATGTCGTTGCACTGCAAATTTTGTAGTTTTTTGTGACCATTTTGGCCGTTGTTGTAATTGACCGATATATTCTATTGACCATCTATTCCAGAATTGTTAAAATAGGTATTGTAAATACTGCCAACGTTTCAAATAATTTACCCTTGTTATCGTATGGGGCTCATCGGGAATAGATGACATTGGCCGGAAAATTAGAAAATGGGCAGGGGTTAATGGGTCCTCATCACCTTCGAATTTTAAACATATTGGTCTTGAGTTCAAGCAACCTTCAATTTGACACAATATTGTGGTTATTTCTTCATACGTTGCGGAGTCGGCGGCCAATACTCGATTCAAGTTGAACTTCGTTGATTTGACTCCGGCCTCTCACATTCCACCAAAATGCGGGCCAGAGGGTGATGAGAAATGCCATTGGATGGTTTGGTCTGCCAATTCTGTCGTGATTTTCTCTTGTGTTGCTGATCTGTTCACAAATTGAATTACTTCGCGTAGCTGTTGATTGCATCCAACAAAATTGGTTCCATTGTCAGAATAAATAGGGCATGGTCTGCCCCGTCTCGTCACGAATCTTCGGAGAGAAGCAATAAAGGCCGCTGTGGAAAGTTCTGTAACCAATTCCAAGTGAATAGCCTTTGCGACTAAACACACAAATAATGCAATCCAAGATTTATAGCGCTTACTTCCACGACCTTTCCATGACCGCACTTGTATAGGGCCGGCAAAATCCACGCCGGTGTTGAGAAAGGCGGAGACAGTTTCAAGTCTATGGCGGGGAAGATCACCCATTTGTTGTTGGAAGGGCTTGCCACGAAATCGCATGCACCGA